ATGGTAGTGACTTGTATGTTTTCGATATGAAAGAAAGGAAACTTGTTCTATGATAGGTGAGGGGTCAAAGTGTAATTGGAGCTGCCTAACAATGATGTCAGCTATAGCCAGAGATCACTGACACTAAACCCTTCATTAATAACGAAAACTACATGTAGATTAGTTAATTAATCAATATAAACAAAGTTCGTTTTCACATTAAATCATATTAGTCCTTTCAATCTGTTCAAAAGTCATTTTCAGATTTTACGTAGATGTATAATATAACAAGAATAATAATTTAATTGAGGCCATTTTTGATTCACTGATTCTGCTTATCACTTGCAATGTTGTAATGGAGATGTCCGTTTTCATTCCCCGGTTCAGTTTAATAGATACTAATGCTTGCTTTGACGTGGACATCCACGTATTGATGCAGATATGTATGGATATTTTCACAATGGAATATTTATTTAGTAAAAAATAAGTTTTATAGTATAACCGCTGTTATTAAGTCAAGGTATGTGGTACATTGACTTATATTGTCTTAAAACAGTTACTATGTAAGTAAGTTTGAAAATGAAAAAGTGAAGTGGTAAGAAAGGATATTGAAGAAAATAGGGGGGCAAAATTTATAGTTGAATGAAGGTTGATGGTACATATCATCTACTCTCTAGTCTCTACACATCTGCTTCTGCTTTCCTGTTAACTGTATTCTCTCTTTTTCAAAAACTCATCTTCTCCTCTCTTTCACTTATCACTTTTCACTCCCACTCTCTCAGGCAGGCGGCGCCATCAAATGATTAATATAACCGATACATTAAACCCTTTTCATATCCAAATCTGATCAACATCTTCCCAACCTATCACCAATATTTTATTTTTTAAATAATAAATGGTTACTTACGACCCTGCTGCTTCCAGTGGAAGCAGCAATGGAACCTCTTCCTCTTCAGCTAACAAACCATCCGCCGACATCGATGGGTTACTCGCTGGAGCCGGTTACAAGGTACGATCTTCCGAGCTCCGTCAGGTGGCTCAGCGTCTTGAACGACTTGAAAACGTTATGGTTAACTCTCCCGCTGAGATTTCTCTACTCGCCTCCGATACCGTCCATTACAATCCCTCTGATCTTGCCTCCTGGGTTGACTCTCTTTTGTCCGAATTTAACCAGCCTGTCCCTGTACCAACCAATCTACCCGACTTTCCCGATCTAATGGCTGGTCCCGGTCCAGGCCCCCCACCAAATCAGACGGTAGTGAATAATTACTTGGCCGACAATATAATTCCATCTCAACTACCTGAGCAGAATATACCTGCGCAACAGCCGCAGTTGATGGTGGTTACGGCCATGGAAGAAGATTCCGGAATAAGACTGGTCCACATGTTATTGACTTGCGCCGAATCAGTACAACGTGGAGAGCTGGCATTAGCTGGTTCGCTCATCGAAGATATGAAAAGCTTGCTCACTCATGTTAATACCGGTTGCGGTATCGGAAAAGTGGCTGGGTACTTCATCGACGCATTGAGCCGCCGGATTGTCGGAGTCGGTGGCGCCGTCTGCGGCTCCGCCTACGAAAATGAGTTTTTATATCATCACTTCTACGAGGCCTGTCCTTACTTAAAATTCGCTCACTTCACAGCTAATCAGGCGATTTTAGAAGCTTTCGACGGTCACGACTGTGTCCACGTGGTTGATTTTAATTTGATGCATGGTTTGCAATGGCCAGCGTTGATTCAGGCATTGGCTTTGCGTCCAGGTGGGCCTCCCTTGTTGCGGTTAACGGGCATTGGCCCACCGTCGCCGGATGGGCGTGACTCTCTCCGCGAAATCGGGTTGCGGCTGGCGGAGTTGGCCCGGTCCGTGAATATCAGGTTCGCTTTTCGTGGCGTAGCGGCTTCGCGCCTGGAGGATGTAAAGCCGTGGATGCTCCAGGTTAGCCCAAAGGAAGCCTTGGCGGTCAATTCAATCATGCAGCTGCATAAACTACTAGGGTCGGACCCTAGCCGAAATTCACCGATAGAAATGGTACTGGGTTGGATCCGAAACTTGAACCCGAAGATCATGACAGTAGTTGAGCAAGAAGCGAATCATAACCAACCCGAATTCTTGGACCGGTTTAGTAAGGCTTTGTATTACTACTCAACGATGTTCGACTCACTTGAGGCTTGTTCACTTCAGCCGGAGAAGGCTGTAGCCGAAATTTATATACAGAGAGAGATATGTAACGTTGTGTGTTGCGAGGGAGCTGCTAGGGTGGAGAGGCACGAGCCGCTGGCAAAGTGGAGGACGCGGCTTCAAGGAGCCGGTTTTAGGCCTTTGCATTTGGGTTCTAACGCGTTTAGGCAAGCCAGTATGCTTCTCACACTTTTCTCGGCGGAGGGATATTGTGTTGAGGAAAACGAAGGGTGTTTGACACTGGGTTGGCACAGCCGCCCTCTCATCGCCGCTTCGGCATGGCAAGCCTTGCCCGATCCCATCATCAATCATCACGCCAATAATAGTAATAACATCATGTAAATTTTAAGTAAAGTTCTTGTTAGTTTCAAGGAGATTTTACTTGGAGGAGGAAATATATGTAGTTTGCACTGTTTTTATTACTACCTCTTCATGCAACTATAATACACACAACAAATTTTTACTTTTATTTATATCATCTACTTAGATTAAAATATGGTAAGGTATAGTGTGTAGAGAGGTATCATAGCTTCATATAATACTAATAGATAGATATAGGGGGAGATGAGGACCATGCATATGTATGAGGTGGGGTATGTCTTAGATGATACCCACTGGAGTAGTGTAGTAGTATAATCCCAGAAACACGCCAGTGGTGGTAAAGGGTTTTATTAAAAGATGATAACAGAAACCGGCATCTTCCACTTTCTAGGCCAGGAATTGCTTCCATATAAAGTTTCTGTCAATATAAGCTTTAACTATCACTTTTACCATACACTATTACTACCCTTGTCCCTTTTCATCAAAGTACACAAAATTCTTTTACAAGATTAAACCCACAGCTGATTGCCCAATTTAACACATAATTGTAATTAATTAATTTAATGGTGGGAGCTATCACTATCACACAATGTAACATTGGCATGTGAAAGCAAAGGTAAACAAGTAACGTCTGTAGCATCGTAACAGAATTCTAAAATTGAATTCAAAAAGGGGGTCATGTGAGTTTCTGCAACAAACCAAATAAAGGCAATTAACCAAACGGGACCCTTCACCGTAATAATAATGAGGCCGAGGCAGAGTCACAGACCACAGGCCCGCCAGACCCAGTGTGACTGTGAAGTGAGGGAGAGTTCGAGGTCGAGTGAAAGAGTGGACACATGTCCCATTTCCACTGCTATAAATTTCAATCGGTGCCTTTTAAAAAAAAAATTATAATTAAGAACTTGATTGATGATAACAAAAAAAGAAATTAATATTAATCTTTTTACAAATTCTATCTACAGTTGATCCCGATGTGATCGTGATGTGCATAAACTACGTGGACCATAAAAAAAAGTAGTATGTTACTGGGAGTGGGGACCATCTTCTGCAGTAAGTAGCACGTTCACGTGTCAATTCCTTAACATGTGTCGAAAGCGATGCAACCTTTCGCAATCCCGGTCAATTTGTGATGAAGGCGACATTTCTTAAATTAAAGATCCACCATCAATCTAAGGGTCCCACTCCATTGGTTATGTGGTCCCACTCCCACTTTACACTATTAGTCAGCATTATATATTATCAAATTAAAGTGTTTATTTTTTTGCTTTCATTTTAAGATATTTTGAATGAGCTATGATAGCTTAAAGGGTGCGTTTGTTTCCTATTCTTGTCCAATCCTATTCCTATCATTTTCAAAATACATATTTTTTTTCCCTAATTTCAATTATTTAAACCCTTTAAATTTATTAATTTAACTAAACACCATCTCTAAAAAAGTTTAAAAATTAACAAAAACACCCTCACCTACCCATATTTACCAAATTCTGGCTATCACTGCCGAAAGATGGCTAGAATCTAGTATAATAGTACACTACTGGTTGGATTTGGCTAGTAATACGCCGATATAACATTTTCCGGCTTCCCAGCCAAATCTACCATAAATTTGGTCGAAAAATGCCATATCTTTAGCCATAACTAGTCGTCAATAACGATCAAGATATGACAGTCAGTGACGACCAAACGCGACCAGATCTGGTTTTTTCCAGTCAGATCCACGATGGATCTGGCTAAAAAATGCTATCTCAACGCACGACCGACCAAATCCAGCCGGTTATGCGTCGATACGGCGACTCCGACCACCCTTCGGCGGTGGTGACGGGCATTTAATGGGTGGATGGGGGTATTTTTGTAATTTTTAATGTTTTTATTACAGGGGTGTTTAATAAATTAATAAATCTAGGAGATGTTTTTGTTAATTTTTAAATCATACGTCGTTATTATCACCAAACTCTTACTTTTTCAAAAATACTATCCAAAATACTAAAACAAACACACCTTAGTAATTTAATGAAATTGGTACCTCCAATCTTCTTAATAAAGTTCGATAAAAGATTCTTAAGTCTACTATTCAAAAAATTCTGAGTTCAAATCTTTTTTCAGATATAAGTAAGAGTAATTATTAAAGCTCTTATTCAATCGAGTAGTTTCACAGTCTCGAAGATCAGTTAAGATGCACATAAGGTGCTTCAAACATCTCCTGTCATAAATAAATAAAAAAAAAAAAAAAAAAATGTTGATGTAGGAAGGTATTAGGAAATTAGGGGCGTTAGAATATCCTCTTTTCACTCTTTCCAGTTTCCTCATTAGCTGTTTTTGGAAAAAAAGTACCTTTATGAAGATTCTAAGAACTTTCTGATAACTTTCACAATTCACACTTATAGAATTCAAAATTGAAAAGGATGGCCCCCTAACTCTGAGAAATTAAGATGCATTATTGGATTAAAAAATCAACCCAGAAGCAATATTTGAAAAGATAATAATAAATATTAATTATTCAGATAAAAAAAGTCACCAACTTTGATTTCATATGATGGTCATCCATCCATCATTTCTACCATTAATATGCTCTGCCCACCAATTAATTCGTTTGTATGAGACTACATATTCATTCCTTACCTTAATAAAAACATAGAGCTACATAATTAGAGTGAGTGAATGATAGAGAAATATCTCTATCCTATGTACTTGTGTTCCACTTTGTTTGAGTTGGTTTAACAGTAAAACATCAGATTCTTGACTTTGTCTTTCAAAGGAGGTAAGGGGCGGATGTGTCGGATTTTCCCATTTTCAGGGGCATCAGGTTCCATGTAGAATCGAGCTCGGTAAGCTGCCAGATGAGCATAATACGCAGGAGGCACTGCATATATAGTAACAATTGTATTTAATAATCATATTTTTACTGCATGTTAACTATCATATTCATATAGTTGTAGCCAGCAACATAAGATGGAACAACATGGGGTGTTAGTACTAGTATTTGCTTACATATACCTATGTTTCAAGACAAGAGATAACCAGATTTTTACCTATAGAAACTGATCGTGTGCATCGAGCATACCTGCAACCACATAATTACTTACTGTAAAAAAAAAAAAAAAACAAAGCAAATTGTAGGAACAACATGGGTACTGATTTCTTACGTATAACAAAGGTTATTTGTCAGAGATTGTATCTCATCTGCAGTAAAATTGTTCTCGTCCCAGAGAACATTATAATGAGCAGGTCGACTAGTGCCCTGTCAATTAGCATTTCCGCGTAAGTGAGCGTTTGACTAAACATGCTACATACATATATGGGATTGGGATTCTATGGCCAAAAATTCAAAGCAAAATTTCCAACCCAAACCTGGATTCCTGCATGACTACATAGATAAAAGTCAAATTCAGTAGGATGACAAATCTTAGTGTCCACCACTGTTCCTGCAGCGCAGTTGAAAACATCAAATTCATAAGAACTCAGTTTTTACTTTTGAATAACGTAAACTAGCTCAGCCACAGAATTTGACTAGATCTGTGGCACAAAGGATGCAGTTGTTTATTTGGTTTCTTTGAACTAAATTTCACTGGCAGCAGGGTTGACTAGTTCCTTGGAGAATTCATTTATATTCCATTGATCAATCACAAAAACACAAAAAACCACCAGAAACGGAAGTTATTACCAGGTAGGATATTTCCGCTCTTGTCAGTGCTATTTCTGTCTTCGTGGTTGCTCGAGAAGAGTCTCGTATGGTGCCGCTTTTGGACAACAATAAATGTAACTGGGGGTTGATAACTAGCTTCCAGTGATGCACAAGCCTGAACATAGCCAGTATTTAAATACATGAAAGGCATAATTCATAAAATCCAAATAAGCCGCGTTCACTAACCTTACGAATTGCATCAAGTTCATAAAGCAGAACCTGGTAGAACTGGCCTTCGCTAACACCGTCTCTAAAAAAAATTATGGAATACAACACAAATTATTACAATTGAAACCCTTGACCCTTAGCGATTAATCAACTTTGGGTACTGACTGTACCGGTAAAATATTATTCTTAGTGGTTTTTGTCCAGTGGCCTTCTTAAACGACAGTAAGAGCTCCCTGCAGTAGCATGAATTATTAAACTGCCAGTAAGTACAAGTGTACAACAGCTCATACTTAACACGCAGATTTTGAGTTCATTAATACATGCAGTCAGTGAGTGATCTCAACTCTCAAGCAAAATGCAAGCTACCCAGTAAGCAAGTATTAATACAATAGAAGTGCTTCCTTGAAGACACTTACAAAACTCAATACAAAAGAAAAAAAAAAGTGCTATGTATTGTATGAATTATAAAATCCAATATCTCAAAACTATATCAACGAAATTTGGTTGTATTAACTATCCATTTTATTACCAAATGAAATAGATCCTCATATTTCTAAGCATTTATGTCCAATGCTTTAGCCAGTTTTTTAAATATCACTGCAAAACGGGTGCCATTCTCAGCCATATTGAAGATGAGCAAATCAGGATCAACAAGCTAGAACTCGGTATAACGTCTTCATTCCTATAGACCGTTGGGAGGGTGACTCTTAACTAATGACAACCCAAAATTTAGTCGTGTGAAACTCTAACAGCGTTAAAAGGTATAAAACCTGATCATGCCTCCAGTAACCGTACCCCTCTCAGGGTCTTGCCAGGTTTTGAACAAATCTTGAATTAGTTCTTGCCGATGAGGCTGAGCACATACCAAACCCACGTACTTTGTAATTTCAGGCCAGTCCTGTGAGGCTACAACCTGTGTAGCAGTAGTAGTAATGGCTAAGATACATTCAACAGTACGATTTTAATCCACAGGGTTTAATTCACTTACAGCAGCTATAGATGGACTTGAGTCCTCTCCTGACTCTGGATGAGTTACATCAGCTCCAAAAATTATTGTTGGAATGTCACTAACCAGGGGAATCCTCCAAGTTAGAGCATCTAAAAGCACAGTATTTCTTCC